CTATATATATATATCTACTATNTACTATATATATATATGTATATATATATATATATGTGTGTGTGTGGGTGTGTGTGTGTGTATTTTATGTCCGTATGCCTGTATCCTGTCTTATATTTCTGACTTGCACTGAACCGCAGGGAGACACAGACGCATACGGCTGTGGAAACGATGGGAATGGCATTGGCGTCTAAATTTGTAGCAAGCACAACCACCTACCCGTATCAGGTATATTAAGCGATTGTGGTACAAGGGTATCCTCGCGTGTTGCGCTTGAGTCTATTTTTCTGTCTGATAGGTTTGCAATATTGTGATTAGACTGCGTTGGGAATTGTGGGCTGTCGTATGTGAGTATACGTATACACGTGTTTGGAGTTACACATGAAGAGTTGTATATCTGCTGATTCCTAAAAATCGACAAACTGGCGTGTATACACTGGTACAACAAACGCATGTTAAGTTGGATACATCTTAAACAGTACAGTCTATGTAAATTTTTCTACGTTCAATTTGCAAGTAGATGATGTCGAATGAAATGTACGTAGCGGTCCAGGTATTCAAATGAATGCAGCTTGGATAGATTAATTCTGTTCGTGTTCCTCATTATCCAGCAAGAGCAATTTATGAGTCATATTGTACACAAGGTAGCACTGTAAATCCGTATACATGCACACATAGCTGATATGCCGCGCGCACAGAATTCATAGATTTTAAATAATACCTGGATTAGGGTGTTTACACCGGAAAATCCACTTATGTCGCTGTGAGAGTCGCACTTTTCCAGACTTAATATATACCTTATTTTGTGGTGACATGGTTTTCGAATTCAAACTTTCTTTAGGTGCTTCGGAGTCGCCTGCAAATACAACGAGAAAATAATAAGACATACACCGGTGTCGTGGATTGCATTCAGAAGATCTGGGGGTAAGTGTTCGGCTTGTGTAGTTCATTGCTGCGCGTGTTCATGTAGAAATTATGAGCTAATGTTCTCGATGTTTGCTCACGAAAGTATACCACCATTCTTATGTTGATGCATCATCGTTTACTTACAGGGCTGAGGGTATACGTGGTTTCTACCGAGGTTTAGGTCCCAATTTAATTCGCGTGGCACCCGCAACGATGCTAACGTTTGTGGTATATGAGAAGTTGTCACAAGCTCTCAAGGAAGGGGCTGCCACGCGCACGCTACACAACTCATAAGATGCATCGCAATAATTCACTAAAAACCTCCCAAGAGAAGTAAAACAATGGCGCAAGTATTGTGGGTATCTCCAAAACGTTTTATACGATAAGATATGCAGCTATGTGAACTCAATGCATGCGAGCTAGATTTAGGTCTTTGTGCAAGCAGACGTGCTTGTAGAGCGTTACAGTATTCATGTATCTATAGTACGGAAGTATCTGCAATATATTGTTAATTAATATGGCAAGGTCAATAGAGAACATCATTACACCGTATCATCATTTATGTATTCCATGCTTTGATCAGTAGAGATTTTGAATTCATGCAGAGGTTCTCAGGATAGCTTTTTGAATTCGTAAAGGTTTCCCAGATGTGATACTTGCCTTTATCACATATTTTGTACAACTGTGCTAGCATTTACAGGAATGATGGATCAACTATGCAACAATTGAATCAAAACATATCACAGTACGCTCATAGGCAACATGTGAATTAATACATGAAGTATTAGGAGTCGCAACTCAGATACCTTATTGCTCTTAGTCTAACACGCAAGCCAGCGATCGTAGCACGTAATGATGAATTGAATGCTCAGGCTTGAAACATGTCCATCTCCGAATATTCCTAAAATCCGATGTACAAACGAACTAAATATCGATACTGGATATGCAGTAACAGAATTTATTAGGTGACCATGTCTGGGAACAATTATAAATTGCGCTTACAAATCTTAGAACTGGAAGTCAGATCGTTTGTAGAAATCAGAGTGTTGGGCGTCTTTCTCGCAGTAAGACTGGGGACATTTCTTCAAATCACTCTGGTTGCGTACGTCAAGGTATGTAGTTCAGCTGGACGGCTCTCTCCTTGAGCATAATGATGATTTTATCTTCTCTCTCGGACGATGGCGGCTCTCCACAAGTATACATACGTGCATCAGCGTAATTATTGGCTCCCACGCTCGCGTCTGCTCGTCGTCAATGTTCGCAGCCAGGGCTTGGGATGCATGTCGGGCAAACACGCCTCGACCACGCCCTAACACGGCATACTCTTCTGCCATCGGTCAAGGCTTTGCCTACGCGGAAAGACATTGTCCGGGACATTCAGAAGAATGCCGACAAGCAGGGCATGTTCCATAATCAATCTCTTATACCGCCAACATCCATCTCTATCGATATCTGTGAAGCACTCATCCTGGTTTGGTACAAGGCCTTACCGGAGCTTTACACCTGCCTTAAGGACCTACAGACCGCGCTCCGTGCCTTTATTGCGGCCGCCTATTCAGGAGAACTGAAGGAAGGGGTCCTACAAGCACTCGACATGTATGGTACCACACAGGCAGCAGCGTATACAGCCCGTATGATCACTGCGCGCGGACGTCCTCCTGCGCCCTCTCCAGGTCGCCTCAGCGACTCAGGATACCAGAGCGAGACTGGATACACCAGCAGTCAGCAGCCACACCGCGACTCCCGCTCATACAGGGGAGAGGGGACGCTCCTTCGACTGCCACCGCTCTCCGTCACATAGCCGCGATAGCCAGTACCACTTAGGACGGAACTCGCTGTCACATTCTGCTGGCAGGGAAACTTATCCTGGACGCGACAGCCGCTATGGAACTGGTCGCCGCCAGTCCCAAGACTCAACACGCACGGATATTCCTACGTGCCCTGGTGCCGCCTGAGACACGCCGATAAGCTCTGTCCCATCTGCCATACATGCAAGCAGACAGGGCATTATTCTAGACGATGTCCTAATAAGGTTATATCGGCCACGGCAACAACAGCAACCAAGACTACCGAGAATTCCACCCTATTCGTCACAGGGGCTGACATACCACGCGACCATTGACTTGGGGCAGGAACAGGGCGTACCTAGTGAACACTAACTTACCAGTGGACTCTGCTCCCACACATCACAACGAATTCTAAGTCAACGACAACATATATACGGACACATGGATGACAACATGTACATAGATATATCAATCATAGATGAATGGACAGGGCCGGTATTGTAGGCCGTATGTGAGCAGGAGGATGTCATGGCCTACGTGGACACAGGCTCCAAGCCCGCTATGTTACTCCAGACTTTTGTGGAACGACTACACTGTAAGGTTCATTTTGTATCTTCAGTTTATTTATAAAGTTTTAGGAGCGATGGCCAAGCTATCTTGAACCACCGAGTTACTGCCTACTTCCCGTACGCCCCCCCCCTATCGCCACCTCTACCCTCTACGAAATCAAGTCAGTAGACTTCTTTGTCTCTGACTGGCTTCCCCGTGACTGTGAGGTGCTCTTCGGGTTCGACCATCTCCAAGAGAACCTCATTGGAATCTCCTGGGACCAGTCGACTTCCCCGCCGCAGTTACAGCTGGACCTTCCATGGGTCAAGTACCCGGTCGGTTTCCTTATTTCCCAGGCTCCGGAACAACTGGCCAAGATCAACTTACCTCCCATCTACGAACCACAGGATGAGAAGATACCGGACGAATATGACTTCCGGCACCTCGACCGCCCAGCGAAGATCCTCAACAAGGGCCCTAGTGAGTTATAGACGCTTACGACTTCTTGAACGAAGCGCGATAGGACCCACGTCAACCACGCTAGATCAACGATGTCTTGGTACAGCTCCGACTCGAGGAAGGGTCTCAGCCGATCATGTTCTCCACGCAGTCGAGACCGCGAAGATGGAACAGAATTGCAAGGATAGGAAGGTCCAATCCGCTGCTGGTCTAGCAGCTTCGTACCACCAGCTGCTCCTCCACTTTGACTCCAGAGGGTGCCTAACCTTCACGACGGCTGACAGGCGCTTTCACCAACCACGCTACCTTCTGGAGGGTGTGCAACACTACATAGGTACGACGTTCCGCCTAATCGAGACCTTCCAGGCGTAGCTCGACGACGGCAACTTAACGACGTCCCAGAAGGCCGCATAGACCATGCTCGAGGCTAACGACGACCACTGTACTGATGTTTTCTCAATTGTCCGTATTTGCATCGCAAAGCATATTCAGCTGCAACCCCGGAAATGCCAGTGGGCAATCCTGATAGAAAATATCCGCAACACCTCGGCGATAATGTTTTAGAGAGCCCAGACATTATTTGATAGACCGCCACCAACCAACCGCTAGGAACTCACTAGCGTCCTTGCAGTTCTTTCCTGATGGGCCACTTATACTCCAGGCTACGCGACACAGGCAGCGGTGCTTTCCGACCTGACACGCAAGGGTGCAGTCTTCAAGTGGGAGACGATACATGAGATTGCCCACACGTACCTCTTCTCAACGATCGGCCTTGGCATTCGCCTGGTATCACCCTCTACCGCATCAACAACATGTAGCAATCCCGGATGCTAGTAACAAGAGCATGGAGACGGGGTCTTTGTTCAGATAACACCACCTGGCACGCCTGAGTGGGATGCGGAACAAGCAGTCATTGAAGAGTGCAATGTCTACCGCACTGGCTTCAACTTGCCTCCAGTGCCGAACCAACCACAAGTACCCACGCTAGCAATCCTATCCAACGAGACCAGTGACGACTTAATTCCCCGCTGTACTAATGCTACCGACAAAGACCTACCAGTGCATCTCTCTGCTTTTGCGGACTTCCCGAAACTCGAAGCGCACAAGCGTCCATTGCCGACGCATGACACCAATCCCGAAACGACCGACGACAGATGAAATTCTAGCACAACAGGACGCCATAGTTGCCTCCATGACGATACTGCCACGACCTGACCTCCCGGTGTGTTTAGCACAGCCGCGAGCCAGTGCTTCCAAACCTTACATGACTGCAGCTGCGACCCGACCAGCCCTTATTGGTGCTCGTACGGTCAGTGTGGACCAGTGTGTAGCTTCGTCCACAGATACTCGAATGTTCACCGAACAGATCAAGGCAGCTGTGGACCGACCCCTGCCAACGCGCCAGTATGTAGCTTCTGCTACAGAGCCTCAGTTGGACAGCGAGCAGGCAGCAGCTCACGACGACGACGCACCGCCTATATATCCTTATACTATACAATTTCGACCCGTTTATACGGACCGGATCAGACCAGAGAAGACACTGCCCAACGTGACGGACCTACCAGACCCACCGCGTGACCTCGGTGTCACCATCGGTGATGATAAATACCGTTACCCATCGGTCTCCTTATCCGCCAAGATGATTGAAGCCCAGGAGAACTACGATGCCACCAGTCACGAAATGATTGGGTGCCGTATCATAGTCTGCAAGGTAGCGGGCCTTTCCCACCGCTCATACCAAGCTATGATTCTCCTACCGGACCATAAGCCGTTGAGGAACATCTTGCGTGATCCTAGCTCCTATCTTCACTCACGCTCTATCAAGCACAAGCGCTGGCCCCGCAGCATCGAAGATATCAGCGAAATACCTATCGACATAAAGTACATCGAGGGCCCGCTGACAGTCTTGGGAGACTACCTCTCCAGATGCCTGGATGAGACTGATGAACTGTTATAGATGGCTCAACAAAGTGTCGGCTTCCCGTCGCTTCTGACGAAGATGACAGTCGGCTTCGCAAACTGTAACAGGATCTGGTGCATTGGCACAAGCCGACAGACCCCCTCGATGAGGCAGTTTTGGACCACACTAGTTGGGCTATCAATGATCTATGGATTGATGTGTAGCAACAAATATGGGCCCCATTCGACTCTGAGCTGTTCGCCAGCCATGAGGACCACGTCCTCACGATCTACAAAGGACGGCACGGGCGCATGTGTTCAGGACGCGTACTCCGTCCAGGATCCAACATAAACACTGCTAGATGACCTTGCCCTGAACGGACATCGGTGGATTCCTTCGTGTTCGAGTTCCGGACGTTATTTTTACGTCCGTGGTCGCATGCGTTTCCTTCTGGCCATCGGCCGTCTAGTTATCTGTCGTCTTTCGCCTCGTCCTGGAAACGTCACTTGTCATCTCACACCGTGACGACACATATCCCCGTAGAGGCAGGCATATCGAGGGTAAACCGCCGTGGCCATTCACGCTTATCGCACACCTTCGTGGGGCCTAACCGCTATTTGTGGTCCCGACCAGTTTCTGGAAGCGAGTCGGCCTTACCGTCCTCCCAACTGCCTTCTCACGATCGGCTATGACCCCATGCTGTACATCACTACATCTCTCTGACGGAGGACAACAATATCTCCAATCCCGTTGAGAGTCCCTGCTGCAGCCCTTACACCGGACAGCCCACTACCTGTTCCGCCAGTGGTGACGGGATCCGATTCCCTCTCGGATGTTTTCATGCCAGCCACGGAGGACAGCCACTAACCGGAACGTTTCCTTATTTGTGGATGAAAACTAAGCTTATAGATGAAGACGAACCAATGCTCATGACCGCTACACCAGACACTGCCCATGCTCCCACTGAACCAACGGAATTTTGTGCGGATGCACCCGACGTTACCATATCTGAGGCCGTCCCGGACGCAATAAAAGATAACATGCCTGTGCCTGTCCCAGCATTCCGTCGCCTGTCCCAGCAACGGACAATTACCACATGTACATAACTTTCATGGTGGATCCCTTCCTCCGACCGCTGGACGAACGATGATCACACGTCGCCGACGCCATGCCCACCCGCACCGACGACTTTCCGACCAGGACCCAACCCGACACATCATCGTTCAAAGCCTCGCTGAATGTGGCTATCCAGGAATATAATAGCGAGTACCATCCTGATCAGGGCTACACGGCTAACGATGCCGTTCCTTCCTTTCAAGAGGTTCCACTTGGCACTGGCGATTGGATTCGCCAGCACCAAGAACTCGCAGTGCAGCATTCATTGAATGCGCACACCTCGCCCTACCCTGACCTATCGGATAACGATATAGCTACACAAGGTCCTGACAAGGACCTCTCCGCCAACTAACCACTGTCCCCTAAAAAATAGTGGCAGCCTCGTCCAGCACTCCCGCCTGACATCCCGTACACGGTATCAACCGCACCCCACACAGGTGCCCCCCTCCATAACCGCCGGACGAATACGGTACGACATCGCCACCCTGTAACCGACACATCAGTGTTTCAACAGATTGAGACCCTACACCTTACATGCATGGATCAACCTGTGTGCCCCGAACGGGTCCATGCCGTCATTTGGATATGGCATGACGGGTATAGCCACCTCTTGGCTGGCCGTCGCCAAGCCTTGGGTTTGGAGACGTATAGTGGCATAATTCAGGTTAGACTATCAACCGGCCGCACGCGAGGTCTCTTACAACAGCGTTCCCGACCGGCGGCCATGTCTGATAAGATTAATTTGGACTACATGTCCCTTCCTCCTGATGCCAAAAGATACTCATATGTCCTCTTGGCACATGATGGCTGTACACTTCGGGCTTTTGGTGAGCCTCTTAAGTCTACCGACATGCACGCTTCCGTACTCATCCGTTTATGTAACACGCATCTTGTTCCGCGGTGCAGAGTTTGAGAGTAGCTTACAAGGTACGACCAAAGGTAACAATAGACCTCTTCTCGAGTGCAGATCTCTCAGCTAGGTAAAAGTCTTAGGCTGAAGCACTCGCATTGAGTCTTTATTTGTGTTTGGTGTTTTCTACACTAGACTCGATTCATACATAAGTGCTTCTCTCACGCGCGAGAGTCCCGGTATTGTCTATCGGTAATCCCACTAGATTTCTGATCACGCTAATATCAGAATATTGGATCCTGGATCCAAAACTAAGTATTTGATAATCCTTGGTTTTGGGATTTGGACTGGCTTTTTGATAATCTGGTCCCTAAATGCCACAGCAGGGGCACGTTAAAACTTGTGTGATTGTTAAATGAAGCACCCTTATCAGCGACGAATTCGCTACGTACGCTGCTAGCACGAACAGCACTATCCACTCGGAACACGGCGGTAATGACCGTATCGAATATTGATCACAGAAAACCAGGATTGTTTACCAAGCATAAAACTACGGTCAAACACCAGAGGCTCAACAGGTTTATCCCATCATCAACCAAGGAGAGAATCTAAACTCAGAAAGGGACACAGAAATATTACAGATGGAAATTAATCTCGGAGCCGACGTGACGGGAGTACGGAATCATCAATATGGAAAATATCTGATAGCCATAGGGGCATCCCTAAATATAGAAGTACAATCTAAACGTATAAGGCCAAAGATTATAATGGAAGCCATGATCAGTTGAAGACGTGGCGACGCTGCCTTTGGATTGGATTTCACCATAAGGGGTGTTTTTTGATGGCTCAAGAATTACGAGTCCAATGCATATGAAAGCAGGGACTCGAATCAAATAAATGACAACTATTCACTTAAAACTTAAAACACTTTAAAAGATACTTTAATATCTGAGAACAGTAACTTATCAGGTCCGTTTTACCTCTACTCTGAGCTTCAACCAATCACCCAATAGCATCAACAAACAATACAACAGCCTAAAAAAACTACACAATAGCATCAGCCAAGCAAACAACAGCCTCTACCAACTACACAATAGCATATTTCAACCACACAACAGTCTCGACCAGCAATACAATAGTATAAACCAACTATACAACATCCTCAACCGACCGCAAAAAAGTCTATCGGTAACCGAGCGCACAACAACCTCAACCAACCAAACAACAGCCTCAACCAACCACACAACAGCTTCAACCAACCACACAACAGCTTCAACCAATCACCCAACAGCATCAACAAACAATACAACAACCTAAAAAAAACTACACAATA